CCTGCAAGATATATATTTGCAACAAAAAGTAGCTTATTTTCTTTTCCATAGTCTAAAATATTTCTTTACCAAAATTTAGCAAAATTGGTTCCGTGGTTTTGACGTGAATGCGTCACAAACATACAAAAACACTCATTTCCATTATTATTAATAAATTTTTTCTTGTTAATTATTATTTTCTAATAAAATTCATTTCCAAATCATAAATACGCTTTATAAATTCAAAATTAGTAGTGTATTATACCATTATTATATAATATCGTTGATATTATTAATTAATTCTTAGCATATTAGGCATTTAGTATTTTTCAGCAAGATAACAGATTTTATTGCCGGCAGGTATTTCGTTTGAATAGCACAGCGCGGTATTGAGAATGTTTGATGTTATCGTGTTATCCTGGAGTTATTCTGCTCGTCTGCGGTAAAGTATCAATTTCGGGCGGTAATTTCATTTGCGGCGGATGGTTTAACCCGCGATTTAGGCGTCGTTGCGAGCCGAAATATTGTAATAAACATTCTCGCACAAACCATAACTAGCATGATACGCAGGATATCAGAAGCATCATCAGTGGCACAATGAAAAGCAAAACCGAACAGAATGTTTTTGCACACAGATTTGTTTACAGCTTGTTAATTAAAGACTCTATAAAAAAATACAAAAAAATATAGAAGATTTATTTTCAGTGGGATGTTTTGTAATTTGACAATGAAAAATATTTGCGTTATCAATTCGGTGTATGTTCAGCAAAATGCTTTTGTTGAAAATATTTTTATTGTTATGAGTGGATCATTAAACGCAAAAAAACTCGGATATTTTTATCTTTTGCTTTCATACGGTTTTACTGCCAATTTTCTATGATTTATATAAAAATTCTTCTTTTCAAAAAAATACTTGAGTGCCAATGTAAGCTTAACAACCTTTTTAAAGCCTGTAGGGCTAAAAATGACGAAAATAAACATTATTCTTGTTAATTAGATACTTTATAAGTATTTTTATAACCTAAAAATAAAACTACCACTTTAAAAATTACAGTTTCCTGTAAAATTTAATAATTACAGTTTTCTGTAATTTTGTTCACAATTTCAACCTCAAAACATCGTTTTACATTTTTCTATAGGTATTTAAAAAGAAATTGCATATATACAAGAGGGCTGTATCAAAAGACATGAAGAGTATCAATATAAAGAACATAAAATGTGCTTTGAGATTCAATTTCTTCGTTTCTATTCTATTTGCAGCCGACCGCCTGCTTTCTCCGCTTGTCTGTCGAGAGCTGCGAGTTTATTGAATTTCCGTCCGATAACCGAACGGTGTCCGTCCGGTGTCGATGTTGCCATTCTCAGCTTGGCAGCTCGCCATCGCACTTTCAGCGGAAATTACGAGATGATGGGAAAACAAATCAAACAAAAACGAGCGAAAAAATAAACAAAAATAACGTAATCTATTTTAGGTTATCAATTTACAGTGTTCTGTAATTTTTTACCCATTACAGTTTCCTACACTTTTCAATCTACAAACGCAAAGTATACAACTAAATATACACATGAACTATCAATTAATTGAAAGCAAACATTTTAAACAAATGAATATAAACATTATCTTTTACGTGCAAGTATAGGACATGCAATTTAATTGAAATACGTCGACAGACTTTTTGAGTTTTCAGTTTTCATTTTGTGTTACAATATAACCAATGTTACATTGGCAAACCAGACAATAGAATTAAATTACTCCAAATAAATATTCACTCTTCGCAATATATGTGTGAAATATGAGTATGTGTGAAACACGAATTTGTATAAATTTGTAAAATAATTGTGCATTTGTAAACCTCGCCGGCGATAAATAACAAAATTTACATAAAAGCACAAGTTTTGACGCCCGCTGGAAGTATGGCGAAAAGGGCGCAAATTAATGTTAATGAACGAACACACAATCGCCATTGCTGCGCGGTCATGCGCGTGCGCACACCGAAACATTTGACTGCCTAACAGTATGGTAACAGCGCTGAAAGTTTGACACGGTTTTCAGGGCGACAAAGTCGTGATTTTCATTCCGCGAGCGCTACCGCTGCCGGAATAATGCGTCGGCATTAACCTTTATTACGTTTATTGTATTCTCGTGTCGCCACGTGGAGCGAGCGCTTGAATATTTGCTTAATTATTTGCCGCTGTCGTTTTGTTTTTCGCATTTTGCGAAAGATTTTAATGCTTCAACAGTACATTAAAAGCGAAAACTTTGGTGGAAATAATTTCAGGGTTGCTTAATATCCACTTTGAAAGATTAAGTAGAATTATATAGCATTTTATTTACATTGTATTTATATGACTTGGTATTTTTATAAACTATTAAAACCCTTTTTTTATTTTTTAGTTTTTATATTACATTAAATTGCCAAAAACGTAAATTCCGTTATTTTTTACTTTTTAATTGTGCACCTAAAATAAAAACTCTAAAAAATTAAAAATATAGTTTTCTGTAATTTCCTACAGTTTACTGTAATAGTTAAACGTATATAACCTTTATCTGAAAGTAAATATCCGGAATAGATTCTTTCCCACTCAAGTTTAATGCGCGACTTCAATTTGTTGCACATTTCGAAAGCCATTTTGCGCGAATTTGCGTTCACGGTCTATTCCCTAGCGAGCGTGGGCCTCTTTCGGAAGCGATTTCGCGCAAAGTGCGTGTTTAACAAATTCCCGTACCGCGCGATCGCACAAAACTAAATGTTGTACAAACACTATACACACGCATACAGCGCGCACCCCGACTGACTGTTCAGCTATGCATGGGAAAAACGCTTTCGTTTGCATGCCGGTTTTTCTACGAAAATAGAGGTAAAAATTTCCATTTTAAACGCAAGCTAAACTATGCAAACACTCCGGCGTACAAAAATGAGAAAATTTCAACTTCAGCGCTATTAAAATGGCGAATTTTGAAAAATCATTTTTACACTCACATATTTCATTTGCAAAGAGTTTTGTAGAATATAATTTATAATTTGTTATTTTTAGAAGAGTTATTGTTATTTCAAGTGGCGCCATCTAGTGCTCAATAGCTCTTAACCGGTCAGTACTCTCTTCAAACTCAATTTCCTCCACATTCCGCCGCTTTGCTTCCATCCGTGGACCTTTTTTACGCTTTTTGCGGAAATAGTCCTTGTGATGAAAGCTTTCCAACTTTTTTTCCACCCTTTCGAGTGTTTAGAACCCGTATGCAAAAAGTAAAAAAGACGCCGTGTGTAAATAGTACGCTCACACCTGTTACGCACCCTTCCGTTCCTACCAATTTTTTGAGTGGTCCTTCTTTCATCCTTTTTATATATCCTACATCCCTACAATTTAAATACGTTTAAATCATATCGTTCTACAAAAAGTTGCGCTATTTTTATCCCGGTATTTTATTTGGAAAGTTTTACATTGCACGTATCATGAATCACCATTGTGATCCTGCGTCAGGATAACGTCGCTTGTTGTTAACGGCGCTGTTCAATTTTCTTAATGGATTACAAGTATGTATACTGGTGTATTCATTGCATTGTCCTTTCAACCCCATCCTTTTACAATTTGTCCTTCATATTCTTTGTGGGATATTTTTATTGAATTTTATGTTGCTGTTTTCATTCAGTATATTCAATTTTACAATGGATGAAGATGAATTGAAATAAAATGATATTTAAAGAATGAATTTGCTGAATCATTAAGTTTTATTACAGATTCCTGTAATTAATAAATTTTAAGTTAGGTTAAGTCTTGAAATTTGAAGAATATAATGTAAAATTAAATATATAGCTTGAGGTAGGCTACCCAAAGATGTTGTTAAATTTGCTTTAATTTTGCGTCAATGCTTTTTTTAAAATTAATATTTTTTTATGTTTTCATGAATATCATGAATTATTAAGTGTAAACCTTGTTTTAAAACATGTTTCTGTCTACACAAGGCTTGGAAAACTATTTTTGACAGCGAAAATTGAATAGCAAATTTAATTAACTTTGATTAATTGCTTTGCACGTATGTAAAGTATTGTGGGTTGCCTAGAGCCTCTAGAAATATGGAAATATATAATTTTGTTTACAACTTTAACAATTAACGAAGTAATTACCAACATTTTGCTTAAAAACAATAGATCTACTTCCATTTCAGGTAATGTAACGTTTTTAAGTGTTTTTTACAATATTACACGCCATTTGAAGAGAAAAATTAAAATCACAGTTTTTAAATTTGTAAAATTATGCAATTTTGCAACCACTCTACATAAAACTTTATCATCTATTCTCTTATAACCTTAGATTTATTTCATTCATTAATTTTTGCATAAAACTTCAATAAACAAAATTATTTTACTTCTAAACAGCCATGAATGCATTTTTCCCTTTGCCCTAGGGCCGTAATAAAATTGTACCCTTGGCGTCAAAACCCCATTTTCTGTTCTGCTGTAATGCGGTTATTTATATTCAGCACAGATTAATATCCAAACATAAATGTATCACTGTGTCATTGCGAATGGAAAATGCCTTCGGCCATTAAAATTAAATGCGTGCCAATATGCGCCTGCAATTTCCGATCACGGAATTAAAATTAATGTTAATTCCGAATGTACAATGTTGTGTACGGAGTACGAGTGCTGCATGCATAGTGCATGCGTTGTCAATTCAGCACTTCTGTTTGCGATCCATTAATTGCACTCAGTATAAATTAAAACTTAAAACAGAAGTGTAAACATTAGGTTATATATTATGCTATGTATGAATGGTTGCCTATGTTATCTCAAATTTGTTGGTTGCTGTTGGTTGTGTGGTTTATTTACAAAAAAATACTAAAAAATACTAAAATACTGAATTAATTTGATCAAAATATTTATATTTGTTTATTTTATTGTCAGTAAAGTCCACAAGTTCCACAATAGATGGCGTAAGTTCATTAAACAAATTTCTCAACTCAATGTTGATAAATATCCAATAGATGGCGTTATAATAAGCAATTAATAAACAGATTTTACCTTTAATAAAATCGACGGCCATCTCAAGTCCATAAGTGTCCTTATCACAATCATCCAAAATATGCGCTCCTAGTTTAATTTCCGGTAACAGCGTACCAGTTGAATCACCATTATTCAATCGGTCTAATGTATACAACATGGACTCCAGCGCTTGAACGCCACCTTGCGGCATTATCGGCCCACAAGTAATAGAATCCTCACGTTCATGCACCATCATAAGTCCTCCAAGGACAATATCCCCTTCAACCACAGCTTCCTTCTTCACAGGCCAAGGTGTAACTTCATGATGATGCCTTATGTGATGTTTTACGTGTACTCCTTCGCTTGACTCCGATTCTTTCAGAATCTGTTCCAGTTCATGCACGTGCGCATGCGCATGTTCATCAAGGAAGTCTTCACGATACGCGAAGGAAGCACGGTGTCTCTGCGGTTTGTGTTTTGCACGATGATTATAACTGAAGATATTCTCTACGAGGATAACAAGGACTACAAGGATACAGATATTTTTTGATAAGAACATTTCTATGGATATGTATTTTATGGATTAATTTTGAGCTGAAAATAGTTTATTAATCAGATTAATTTATTTCCACGCTGAACTTTTTTGCATTTTGCATTATCCTGATTTTTTTATTATCCCTTTGATGAATAGCGAGCGATAAAAAAGAGGATAACGTCATAAAGTATAATCGAGGCCTGTTTGATCCTTTGTCCTTTTTACGAACCGGACATAAATGCGTGCAAACAAATGTGATTAATACCTGGTAATAATTCATCCCTTAGACACAAAAAAAACAACCCTTTTTCATTTGATTGTATAAATTTGTAACAAATTTAGTTTTTATTTTTTTCTTAATTTAAATTTAAATTAATCTATTAACATTATCTTAATGAGACAAAGATAAAGTCAATCCGTACGTCGATAAGTCCACTAACCACAACTCACCCCCGTGCCATTATTCAGAGTTTGGGAACTTGAGGCAAACTGCGATAAAGTACACAAATGGCACTTTTAGCCTTGCGCCCTGTCGCCTGTTCGTCGGTATTTTCTTAAGGCGGTGTTGGTTCCACCCTCCCCGTTCAACCCCCACGTCTGTAAGTTGACGAACTTCCCGACCGAACTAAAATGCTAAGTGCTTAAGTGCGCATTTGCAAGCAGATATTAATGTCGCGAGCTGGAACCAGCGGTGGTGAGTTGTGCAGGGCGGCAGGACGAAGAACAGAAGAGGGCGCGACGGAAACGATCGAGAAGTTTGACAAGTTTAAGCCATGAGTTAATACCCACTGAATATATATATCGACACCGGCTAATTGCTAATTGAAATTTTGACAGATTGCCCACAGGGTTCATATTGAATATTTGAGAATATTACAAATTGCAACTGTTGAATATATTTGGAAAAATGTGAATTTATAAAGAATAAAATTTTGTTAGTTAAATCGCTTATAACTCATGAACGGCTGGACAGATTTTGATAATCTATGATTTGTTAGATTCATCTCTGTACCAAATAGCAGAATAAGTAAGGAAAATATCAAAAATTGTGGTATACAGGGTGTTAAATAAGAGATGAAAATTTGTATAGAAATTCATTCATTATTATAGTTCAATAATTGGATTCCAGATGGCGTTAAAGTTCATTATTAACATTTCTAACGTTTTTTTTAAATAAAATATAATAATTTTTCGTATTTTGAAATAAACGTCTGTATTTCTTTAGGGAAATTTAGGGATGTATTAGTTCTGAGTTTATTGAGCAAGGCATGCAAGCCGCTAATTAGCCATTTTTAATAATCAAAGATATTACCTACATTACCGACATTACGGACATTACCAAAGAACACGAATCGTGTTTATCCAGCACCCCCAAACCACCCATAATGCGACCTCTTTGACCTCAATGAGCTCAATTAATAACGCAAGTAATTGGATACCAAAATAACAAAAATTGCAATTTTTTCATCTCTAACCCACAAATTGGAATAATTTAACCTAAAAAATATATACGAATTTACACAAAAACCAAAAGCGTATTTTATGTTCAATTAAAAATCAAATGTTTTTGTTATTTCAATAAAAAAGCTTTTGTTTTGAATTTTTGTGCAATTGTCTCAAATTACCCCAAAGGGCATTATTGTAATTACAGCACAACATGCGCAATAAATGTAATTAATTATGCCCGTTATATTTTTCGCATTTTTTATTTCGGTCATTAATTTTGATATTTAATGGTGCATTTGTCGTAAAACGCCCAAAAATTAAAATATTTAGAGAACCACAAAAAAAAAACTATAAAATTTTTTGACGATTTTTACGTTTTTTAAAATTTTCACCAAAATTTGAAATTACATATAAAAACCATGCAAAAATTATGCACAGCAGCTGTTATTATATATTTCTATTCATTTATCATGCAGAAAATAAACCTGACAATAGTTTCGTTTGCAATTTGTAATGTTGAATATCATGTCACTTTTGTTTGCTTCATTGACAGCTGCGAGTGGTAGACGGGGGAATGTGGCGGATATTTTTGGGTGCAGCCGCCACGCCACCTCTTCCGGCGTGGCAGCATATCGATTTCGTATCAGATATCATCACAATATCCACAACATTACAACTTCACAATACTGTTCACAAATACCGAAGTCATTATAGCGCGCGACGGAATCGAAACGTAGATTGACGTCATTAGCATAATGGTAAGTGCTGCCATCTGAAAGATTATTACGAACACCATGAATTGCATAATATTAAATATTTATTTGCTCGTTTATACTTTTATTGTTTACTAACACTTGTCGATGAAGTCATTTGAGGAGATTTTAATCAGAAAAACTTAAGTAATTAGTTTCCAACCCAAAATATTCTTTATTTTAATTTCTGGGTTTAGAGATTGATTAAAAATGTATTTAGCGCCATCTGGGTTTGAATTATATAACTATAACTATTATTAAATCTCCATATGAACTTTCATCCCTTATTTTACACCTTTTAAGCTAAATTTTAGGATAAAAAGTAGTCTATTTTATTTTCCAAGATCAAAACTACCTCTACACCAAATTTTTTCAAAATTGGTTCAAGAGTTTATGCGTGAAAGCGTCACAAACAAATAAACAAATTTATATATGCGTTTATAGTATAAATTGAGTTTCAATAACAACTACTAAAATATTTTTTTCATATTTTTGTTATTTACTTTTCTAGAATCATTAAAATATAAAAACAAATAATGTTTTCTAAAAAAAACGTAATTTTCTCTTGAGTTTTATAAACTTATCAGATAAATTATTCCAACTCGCAACTGGATGTTAATAGACTACGTTCTTTTCATCTTTTAAATAAAAATAAATAAAAATAAAATACGTCTGTTTACACAGACATACAATACATACATATAATCTTAGATGATAAAACATGTCACAACCTATTCACTTTTGTCAACTTCCACTGCGGCTACACCTGCATATAGCGACCTCGTCCTGTGCCATCAACTAATCAGTCCGGACAGTGCTGGATTTCATTTCGTTTCACGTTCTTCGCCATTTTAATTTTCTCCGCCTCGCCGACTGCCAGCGAGTTTTACAGTTTCGCAGTGTTACAGTTTTTCACATTTAATGCAATTACGCTCGCGACAGGACCTCTCCACTTGCGCTTAGCGCGCAAACTTTTGCTTGGCGCATTGAGTAAAAATTTAAATTAAAACCTGTACAGACACATCTATATACACACGTATATACTCTTTGCAATCCAGCACGCATTATCCTATTATCCTCTATGGCGCGCCGGTTATTTCGTTATCCTGTTTAGCTTGTTATCCGCTTTTTTTATCGCTCGTTTTCGCAATTATACGCTTTTTTACAAACAATTTAATTAAAATGATTTTCATCAGCATTCAGTGAGTATTCATTTTTTCTTCTTTTTTAATTCAAAATTCAGGATAATGCAATTAAATTATATTAATAATAAAATACTTACCAATAAATTATTGGCAAATTAGTTTCTAACACTTAGTCTTACACTTATCACTAAAAGTCCTTTTATTTTCATATTTAATTTTGGATAGGTTGAAACCAACACAAAATAGTTGAAATTTTCCATGATAATTTTTTTGTTGTTTTTATAATAATAGTTTAAAGATATGTGTGTGAGGATAAGTTTTGAAACACGCGCGAACTGTGCGAAACGCGCGCAAGAACTGAGGCAGCAAGCAACCGCCGACGACGGACGCGTGTGCAGCACTGAGAACGGGAGCGGCCGTCGAGTGCCAGTGGCGGCGACTGGAGGCGGCAGGCGCGCCGCCACCATGACAATGAAAACAGCGAAAACAATCATTCGATGGGAGAACGCATTAGAAGTGATTGCAATCTATTAATAACTCGCATGTTTTTGCAATTAATTTGATAACATCCCACTTTGAAGTTTTTAATTTAATTAAAAACTTGTTATGCATTAATAAAAAAATTATTATTAATTAGAACATCATAGTAAACAATATTTTGAATAATTTTAGTAAAAATTGAAAGTTTTCAATTGAATATAAAATATTTTTGATGTTAAAGGATAATATTGAGTTTCTGCTAAAAATTTTTGCTTGGTAGCCGAGTTCCAATGACATATCATTTCAAATTCAAATGGATTATCTATGTTATACTAGTCAGCCATAAAATTTTAATAACCAGGAAAGTGGTATTCCAAAAATAGGTTTTTTAAAACTAACTTTACCACCTGACAAATATTTCGTTTCGTATCGAAAGAAAGTTTTTCGGATAAAAAAAATCGTTTTTTTGGACATCTAAATTGGTTTTAAATCCTTTCTTAAAACCCATGAACTTTAAAATATTGAGAAAACTACAAAACAAATTTTATCAAATTTTCCATGGTTTTGAGACACAAAAAGTGATACTTTATACACAGCCGTGACTAAAGTACTTTAGTCACGTGGTGGGGCTTGCGCTTGCGCATTTGCCTTCGGTGTAGCAAAAAAACGTGTAAATAGAATGTAGAAAGTAGGAAAGTTTAGAAAGTTTTGCCGACCAATGTAATTTGACTTTATTTTTGTTTATATCACGACTAAATTTAGATATAGCACCATAACCTATCCTAACGAATTAAATTTATACATTTTTTATCTCGGTACTTAATAATGTAACAACTCTTTGATCTTAAATTGTTTACAACAAATCAACATAACATTTACTTAACTTGTTTACTTTAGTGCCTAAGCAGTAAAAATCCAACTTTGTTTATGAACAAACTTAAAGCTATTTAGAACATAATCTAGAACCAAAGTTAATCCATGTAACTAAATGTTAATTGTCGTCCTTATTTTTGCAAATCCTCCCGGCCCCAAATTGTCACTTAATGACATTCGCAAGTTAGTCGCGCACGGCCGCAGGATCTCGCCGGCAATTCGTTTCCAACCGCGCGCTCGCTGCGTTAATCGAGCGCCAGCGCTAAAATCCGCATCCGGAATATATCCTTCACTCGCAATTCGGCAGCGCGCGGGGCAACGCAATTAGAATCGGAATTAGTATTGAGGCGCGCGCACACATGAGCTCTGTGCACACATTACGCGCAATTACGTACTGCGCGAGTTGCCCATATTACCATCTGAGGGACTGCAAGGACTATTCACTAGAAGGAGTATCAAGACGACTGGGACCCGAGACGTTTAATAGGCGTTTCGGTGAAGATGCTCCGGTTTGTCATTAAGGATAACTGAAGCAAGATTGAGTAACGCGTACCCGGAAAACGGGAAGGACGGAAGTGTGAGACCCTCAAGTCAGTCATCAGAATGCGACGTGTTTCGAAATTAAACGAAACATGAATAAATATTATCTAAAATTTGTTTTGAATTTTTTCCGGTTTTCCGGTTTCACATGTAGACATTTTCCGGTTTACAATTTTTTATTTTAGCTTGGTTTGTTCTAAGCAGAATGAAACCTGTGTGGATTTTTCTGATTTCCGGTTTTCCGGTTAACAAATTTTTTGTCTTCGACAAAATAGTTACATAGTAGTTTCCGAGTTCTATGTTTAAATCTGTGCGGGATTTATAAAAACAGATGATTTATCTCGCTGTATGCGAAGTTTAATAATTTTTGCATGCAAAACTAGAAAACACTAGTAAAATCGGAAAACATTAAGCGCCGCTGGCGTCCGACTATGCCGGATGCGCGTCGCGGACGGACAGGAAATAAAATTTACGATCGCAATTTATACGCGCACTGGATATTGTATTCGATTACACGACAACGCATCGGATGGCGCACGAACGAAAAAAATTAATACGAATAATAGCAGTTTGGATTGCGCACGGTGTGTTGTCACTTTCTCATAATCTAAACGTATCGAGGTTTAATTAAACGCAAATCAAATAGGTGATATTTTCAGCTATTTTCACAGCAGATTTTTTCTGCGATTTGGTAATTGGTTGCGTAGGAGGATATAGTTTTAAATATTGGAGGGTAAAAGGACTATTTTTGCGTTGCAATTGGTAAATATTGGAAAATACACATTTTCTGTTTATATTTGATAAATAAACACAATGTTTCACATTGCAAACCGCAAAATTATTATTTTTAAACTGTTCTAAAGAAAACAAAGCATATTTTTCCATTTCCATCTTTAAAGCGCCTGTTTTTCCACGGTTTTGATACAGAAAAAGTGGTATATTAAACACGAATGACCAGAGTACTAAGTACTAAAGTACTTTAAGCACGTGTTTTAGTCACGGAGTGGAGCTTGCACCTACATTTACACCTACTTGATACTTAATATACTATAAAATACTGTGTATTTACCAATTTATTTATTTTGATAGAAATTCCAGTTTATTCGAAAACAGACATATGAATTTTATTTTATATACCGTCATTTTAAATTTACTACTATTGGTTACTCGTATAACAAGCAGTTACGAGTAATAATCAGTCTAAATTTTATAACACACTGTAGCACTGTACGCTAAAAACTGAAATAAAAAGTATTTAGCTTTTAATTGGTGCATATTGCCACTAATTTCCATTATTGGATTTAGTATTTTGCAGCAAGCTGAATAACAATTTTTATTTTTCTAGAAATTTTATTTAAAAAAATTTCTATTTTTCTATTTTGCTTTTTTCCTATTACAAAAACTTCTCGTCATTTATGTTCCCGTTATATAGTGGATTTCAGCGAAGATGAGGTTGGCTTTTATAATTACCTAGATTATCTATTTAGCCTTTTTCATCTTTATTGGAGTAATATTTTGTAAGATAAAAGCACTTTTTGTAGAGAAGTCAGACGCAGTTTACTAAAAAAAATCTACAACATTCCCTGATTAAGAAAACTTTATTTCATTGCCAGTTTGGGAAAGTAGTACAAAAAATGCCATGAAAGATATCAAAAATAACGAGGGCAAAATAAGCTAAATTTTGCGTAGTCCTTTTAGAAGTATACTTCCAAATTTTGAAAAATATTTATCTGATACCATACTAGTACATTTAGTATGTTATCACATGTTTTCATTAAATTTTATATAATTATTAAAAAATGCAAATAATTTTAAGTAAAGAAACCAGTCTAAAGTACTTTAATCACGGACTTTAGTCACGGGATAAATTTTTCTTTTTATTTCATGCGCTTAATCTACAATATACCATTACTCTCTAACTCTAACTTATTTTTAATGCAAAATTCAAAATGCCAACCGGAATATATGCTATCATAAGCCCAAGTGTGAAGATGAATAAAAACTAAATAATTTAATAGTTGTGATAATGGTTATTACTGCAATCATTATCGTTGTAATGATCGTTATCTGCACGTGCAGGCACCGGCAACGCGTCCTCATCTGGAAGTTTTCAACTTTTCACTCATTGCTGCCATTCAGTCATTCAAAATGGACGCGCAATGCGCCATCATTGTTATCGTTAGCACGCCGTCGTTCTCCCGGCGCGTTTAAGTGAGTTTTGGACGTAATAAATGTCATTATCACGCTTCGCAAGCGCGTGAGCGCTCAGGTGGAGACGGAACTATCTGAAGTGAATCTCGCAGTGAATTCAAAGCATTCGAATAATTAATAAGTTGTATAATCTATTGTCGTGGATAAAATGCGAGTATATTCATATAAGAAATACGTGAGCACATAAAAATATGAATTCGAATAGACTTATATAGAAATTCATATCAATATTAAATTTTATTCATATTTTGTAACGCCTGAATTCAAAAACATCCCTCAATGGATCGATAATATATAATATTATTTATTATCCCTACTAATATTATAAATGCAAAAGTCCTGATGTTTGTTACACTTTCACGCAAAAACTACTTAACCGATTATCATGAAAATTTGTACACATATTCTTTTTATTTAATAAAAAAAATATTTTTAAAATAAAATAAAGAAATAGTTTAGCCAATAATACCTCTGCATCTGGCTATTTGACTACTTTAACGCCATCTAGCATTCCAGCAATGAAGCTCAAACCTAAGTACTATAGTACCATCACACTGTATTATCACACTGTATTACCGACAGCTACGTCAACATCAAATCCAATTGACTACACTATGGAGACTGTACACTATACTTCCATAGACTATACTTTCAGCCATTTTAAACTTCCCGCCATTCAACTTCATTATTTTTGATATTCGCGAGCAAAGCCGCGGGTTAAAGCTAGTTTATTATATTTTGAGAAATTTTGAATTATAAAAAGTTTTAATTATTAAAAAATTAATAAAATAAATCATAAATCCTATTATAAATGCAAATATGAGTTTATTTATTTATAAAATCACTTTTTCTACTCCCACCTTTAAAACGCCAGGTTTTCTACGGTTTTAAGCCACAAAAGTAATACTTTAAACACGGATGACCAAGGCCGTGACTAAAGTACTTTAATCATGGGCTTTAGTCACGGGGTGAAGCATAAGCTCATTACTAGAAATTTTAGTAATTTTAGTAATACTTCATTGTTAATACTCTTCCTATTATAATTTGTCAGATAATATTATAACCTTATCAAGCTGAATTTAACCTTGCATAACCTCACTTAACCTAACTTTGGTCCTAATCTTTTCATAAACTTCATTATAACAATCCTTAAAGTATTGTTTTGTATTCAACTTTACCTGTAATACCTTGAAAAATCAATAATGTTTCCATAGTTAACAACCAACTCATCATAATAAACTTAATA